TGTGTGTATATATGTGCACAATATTTTGGATTCTGTTTTATTGCTTGTAAACATATTGATAGTTTTCTATGCTACCTTTTTTCCACTTAACAATTACAATGAACACTTTCCCACGTCTTAAGACATTTTTTGGTTATATTATATTCCATCATAGTAATACACCATAATTTATTGATTAGATAGGGTGTCTTTCAAATTGCAGAGCCAAGTCAACCCAACTGAAGCAGAAATGGGGGGAGGATATTTATTACAAGTGAGATAAACCATAACATAGATTATTATGATCTCAGGTATGGAGTGATGAAAGGCAGAGGAAGGGTGACTGCATAGAGCTTCGAGGAGAGATTATCAAGTGCTGACCATGTGCGACACTATTCTCATTTACATGGACTGTTTCATTTATTCTTCAAAACCTTTGCTCTTTTCACTTTATGATTACAATGTAATATTTTACATACCTTTACCATTTAAGATATTTTTGGTTATGTTATATTCCATCATAAAAATACATCATAATTTATTTATTAATTAGGCTCCTTTTAAGTTGCAGAACGAACTCAACCCAAGGAAAAACAAGATTTTTTTATAACCTTCATTATAAGATACTTTCATTCCCATTTCACAGGTGAGAAGACTGAGGCTTAGAGACATTATGTAAACTTGCCCAGGTTCAGTTAGCACTTTGGTCTGCAGAGAGGATGAAGAGAGGCTAAGCTGGGTGGTGGGAGCAGAGGGAAGCAATTCACCAAAACGAGTAGCCTCACCAGAAAACATCATGGGCCACATATGTCTACACAATGTCACACAAGTCTGTTCCTTGGGGTGCATTTCGTTAGGACCTACCAGATGGAGAAGACAGGAAATAACTACCTTTCACGGTGGCTCTTTAATGTGGTTCCTTAAACAGCCATCTGTGCTACCCATTGCAAGGAACTGAGGATTTCAAATCACCTCTTGAATCTTCTGTGTGACAGTTTCTCCCGTAACGGCTCCTTAGTCGAAGATCAAAGGCCACCAGACATTTTAACATAGAGCCAACTTTTAATAAATGACTTCTGCAAAGGTGGGTAACTGAGGTGACACTACAGAAATACACACACATACGAAATCAAAATTTAAAAATCTTAGCCCTTTTCCAGGTCTTCAAATGTGACATATGCACTGTTGGAAAAACAAGACTGTGGGTCACACTCCCATGCTGTGATGAGCTGTCACCCTCACTCTCTGCTTGAGACAAAAGCATAATTCTGACTTTGCAGAAATCCCTGAACACCTCTCCAGGTCCCCTTGTACCCTGACTCGCGACGCACGTGAGAAAGTTCTGATGTCTTAGTTTCCCTGGCTCACCTGTCGCGCAGGGAGCCACCTGCTGGGGGCGGCAGCCTGGGCTGCTGGAATGGCTGCAGTGGGCCCAGCTTTGAAGTCTCACTCTGCAGTTATCTCCCGTGGCACCGGGCGGGCTGTGAGCAGGCCCGTTGCACGCAGCTGTCACCATATAAGCCAGCAGGCGTTTGAAGATGCGCCGCCCCCACCCTGTGAGGGGAGCCAGGATAGAACAAAGTGTGGTGTTCCCATGAAATCGGTCCAGGGCTTGATAAGAGTGCAAGCCTGCACCTTCCCCCGACCGGAGGGGTTGTGGGGAGGGCGTCGGGGAAGAGAGGAAGGTAGAATTGAGTCCTCTTTGCAAATGTCATACGCAGGTAGCTAGAACTGCCACACTTTATAGCATTCTCGTTGGTTCTTGAGGACAAAATAGTTTGCATGTGGCAGGCACGGTGGGGATGGCAGTTGCAGGGAGGAGGAAGGGGCAGACGGTCTCAGACTTCTTGGCCGACTTGTCACATGGACTCTTTCCATGCCATGCTTCTCACCTCCTCCCTCCCGTGTTGGGAGCACAGTTGAGACCCGGAATCCTCTTGCGGCTGCTGAACATGTGTTCCACAGGGGCGGTGAGATAGTGTCGCAGCCGTTGAGGCAGTGAGCCCCGGCTGCGGTTTCTGATTTCCTCACACACCGTTATCACTTGACGAGTGCGTTGGTTTGTTTCACCCCTAGAGTGTGAGCTGGGACAAATTTTTGCCACCTCTTTTTTTTTTTTTTGCCACTCCCAGACCTCCTCTCAAAAGAAGAAGACCGTCTTGCGAAAGGAAGTGGCTGCCCAGAAGGGCAGTGCCGTGTCACCCAGACCTCCCAGACCTCGTCAGAAGCTGCTTCCTGCTGGGCCGGCTTGTCGGCTGCTGCTGCAGAGCAGCTCGGAGTCACAGAACGACTCGGGGCCAGGCGGGCGCGGAGCAGGCGGGGCACGGGAGGGTCCCACTCTTGCTTGCCCGGGCAGCTGTCCTGCTTGCCGAGCTGCCCTTGTGGCCAGCTTCACAGACAGCCAAGCGACCAGGAGCAAAGTCCTCTCTTTACAAAGGAAAATGAAGACAGCAGGAGAGCCTGCCTAAGCCCGTCACAGACTGCTGTCAGGCCTGGGCGGGAAGCTGGCAGCCAGGAGCGGCCTCAGGCTCCTTGCCTGAAGGGAAGGAAGGGAAGAGCCCTGTTACTCACGCAGACAGTGGAGGAATTCCCGGCATGAGAACCGTCCGCCTCTCGGCATCTGCAGACGCCATGTGGCTGGCCTGTTGGTGGCCTGGGAGATGACATAAAGGGCTGGAAAGCTCGCAGTCTTTGTGAAGGATAAACATCTTCCTTCTGCCACCAAAGCAGTAGCAATTGTGGTTCCAGGATGGGAAGTTTCGAAACAAAAATAGGCCCATGCTGTTGGCACTGCATTGCCGCCAACAGGATACCATCAGCTCTCGCCGGAGACCAAGTTTCTAGTTTGTGGATCACCCAGACCTTTATTCTATCCCTCCCTACTCTGGCAGAATCAAGGAAAGAATCAAAATTCAAACTGGACGACTTTTCTATTTGTTAGCACTTTATAGAAAAGGTTTGGTCACAGAAACGATTCAAGCTACTGACCAAAACGAAGTCTCCAGACCACGCGCAGCTGTCCATGGCTTTGCGCTCGTGGGGGAGTTGGAAAGCAGCCAGAGGGCTTGGCCACGCAGGCCCCGTGTCGCTTCCTGCAGCCGAAGGCGCAGTGGCAGCAAGAAGAGGGTCAGGCTCACCCCAAAGTCAGCGTTTCTGGTCCCCAGGGGTGTCCTGTGTTCGCTCCTGCAGCGCTGTGCAGTGCAGGGGCTCACGTCGCACCAAGCGCGGGGGACACACTTGGGGAAAATAGCCCTTAGAGGTAAATCCTTTGAGGATTAGGAACACCTAGTTCCTAATAGATGAATAATTGTCTGAGCACGTTGACCCCAGTCTGCGAAGAGGTTGAGACAGCTATGCGGCTGTTTATGGGGAGAAATGACAGGGAGACCACGAGTCACCCGAAGACTCATACTCTTCGCCAACATGGCGAAGCGGTGCGCAAAGGGGGGGCAGGCTGCGGCGCTCCGCGCCCCCAGCTCTCTGTCCACTCGCTCCGGGGCCCTGCGTGAGGTCGGAGCTGGGCCGGGCGACTTTCCCAGAGGAAGATCTGGGCGTGAATTCTAGATTCACCACTTACCAGATGCTGTTTATCCTTCGTGGATGCAGTTGTCTGATTCTGAAAGTGGGACAATCATATCTATCACACGCAGCTGATGAGACAGATAAACGACAGAAAGCTTACAAGGTGTCTAGCACCATGCCAGGCACAGAACAATCTCCCAACAACTATAATCTCCTTTTTATCTCCCGTTCTCCCATGTACAAGATCAAGTAAGAAAAGACAGTGAAACATGCCATTTTATTAGTTATTTGAGATGTTAATCTGAAGGTCAATTTGAGTTAGAGGGCCGGTCTGAGAGGAAAGGGATGAGTGACATGCCTAGAGCCACCCGACAGCCTTCCAGGCCTGCCGTCCCCAGGTGTGTCCAAGGCGGAGACGGAGTGACGGAGTCCAGGCGGTGGTGCAGGCGGCTGTTTCCGAGAGCGTGGCCGGCTGCGCCATCTGGAGAAGGTTCGGGGCGGGCTAGCCAGTCCCCTGGGCGGGGTGGATAAAGGGTCAGTGGGGTAGGCCAGAAACGAGCCCTGGGGAAATGGGGTGTAAAGCAGGACGCATTCATAGGAGAAAAAGGGCAGGGACCTAATTATTGGGGAATTTGGAAAGCCCCAAGACAGAGTCTAGAGTGCACGCGTGCAAGCGCGCGCACACACACACACACACACACACACACACACAACTATGAAAGAGGGTGACAGGGCTTTACTATAACATGCAGAGAAGGAGCTGGACGTTTTATTTGACTCAGTACAAGTTAGCAGTGTGATGTGGCTATCCATCCTGGGCGGCACTGATAGAAGTATCAGATCTGGCTCTAGAAAGAGTGGGCAAGGGCTGGTTTTGTTAGGGGGTGCAGAGACAGCTGAGCACATCGATAGGTGGGCAATGAGATGAGGAAACTGGAAACTGAACCATCTGGAAAAGTGTTGAGGAAATTGTGGAGGTTAAATCTAAAAAAAGAAAAAAATAGGGATGGGCACTATGGCTCACAACTGTCACCCCCCGCACTTTGCTTGAGGCCAGGAGTTTGAGACCAACCTGAGCAACATAGCAAGATACCATCTCTAGAAAAAAATTAAAAAGCATAGCCGGGTAAGATGGTGCACCTCAGTCCCAGCTACTCAGGAGGCTGAGGCAGGAGGATCACTTGAGCCCAGGAGTTTGAGGTTGCTGTGAGCTAGGCTGACACCACTGCACTCTGGCCTGGGTGACAGAGTGAGACCCTGTCTCAACACCAAAAAACAGCAAAAAACCCCCCCAAAAAACAGCAAAAAAAACACACCAAAACAAGGAAAACCAGCAAGAGTACATAATAATCTTCAAATATGTGAAAGAAAGTGTATCAGTCAGGGCTTGTGGTTGCTAACAACAGAAATGGACTGTGTCTAATATAGTCAAAAAGAGAATTTGTTGGAAGGTCATCAGGTGATCTGCAGATCGTGAGACTGGGGAACTTGGTGGAGAAATGGGGCAGGAGCCGAGGGGAGCTGGCAGCAGAAGACAGAGCCATGGCCATGCTGCCAACCCTCTAGCCAGGGTGCCACGCCTGGCGCCGCCACCACACACTTGCGGCCGCGTTGCTGGGCCCTTCTCTGCTCCCGCAAATAGTCTCGCACTGTGTCTCCCCTTCCGCATGTTAAAAGTCAGAGATTCCAGCCGGCAACATGGCCATGCACTGGCGTCTGCGAGTGAGGAGAGGAATGCCCAGAGCCTTTTGGCTTTCCTGGTAAGAGGCAGGGCCTTGCCTCGATCTAACGCTCACACCGCAGGGAATGATTCCAAGAGAGGAGGGCTTGGTGCCTGGGAAGACACGGACAAACAAAACCAAACCAGCAAATGTACACTACAGGGTAGCAATGTGTGATTGCTTGTGTAAGACCCTACGAAGTAAGAAAAAGATCAATGGATATATGCAAATGAGAAGTAGATAATCATTGATTTCAAGATGTGTTTATAATGAACAAAGTTAGGCCAACATGACTGAGTTGCTTTTGGTGATAATGAGTGCCCCATTCCTAGCAGAATGCAAGAAAGGACTGGTGCCCACTTGGTGGAGGTTTTCCTCTGTAATCTGCATTTCTGTTCCGGTTGTTGGATGCAGCCTTGCCACAAAAAAGAAAAAAAATACATTTCTGGTTCTAGTACTAAATCATCCAGTAATAAATGCATTTACCTCTAAATCATTCCATCTAAATTGTAACACAAAAGGAGAATGTTCTAGAAAGTCTCCTGTGGATTTTGACATTTCCACTCTTAAACCCTGGACCTCAAAACTCCCACATGCTTAGGTACAAGTGTGGAAAAAGCAATGGATCCCTTGACATTTCCTAACAGGTCTAGAGGGTGGGAGTGGGCAGGGGGCACGGGGGCAGCCCTTGCTTTCTCCTTCCCAGCGTCGTAAGTGGCCACCTGAGCTGGGCAGGGGCAGGTTGGGGGTATGGAAAGCTTCTGACTATGAAGTTGACCCCTAAAACTCCAACGACTGGTAGATAGAAATGAGCTAGGGATAGAGGAAAGGCAGAGAGAATGCTTTTCCTCCTGATGCCCGAGGCAGAGCTTCCACCCTCCTCCTCCTCCTCCACTGTCCCACCCAAAAGGGAGGTGCTGGTGGCTAATTGCATCTGGCACCCAGGGAGTGACAGCCGGGGTCACTGAAGTTTGGCCATCCCTCTGCCCAGTTACTTGACTTTGTGTGCTTGGGTCATTTTCTTCTCTGCGCCCCGTAAGTATTCACAGCTCTTACATGCCCTTGCCAATGGGATTCATCTCAGCACATTCTAGAAGGAGATGCCCCTGTCCAACCTGAGTCCTGAGGAACAGGCACTTTTCCCCATGGAGGCGCTTTCCCGATGGTACTAGGCAACCTCCAGCAGGGGTGAGAGAGGGAGAGAATGGGGAGAGAAGAGAAGGGTGAAAAGACAGGAGGAAGAAGCAGAAGGAAGGGAGAATGAGGAAGAACAAATATTAAAACGTTTCCGCTGGTGGCCCAATGTCAAAGGAGGGGTGGGCTCGGTGTCTGGGGAGACTCGCTTGAGGACAGAGTTGGTGCTGAGGTGGGGGGTGCAGGGATCGCACACGCCCGTTCCCGGGAACACCGGGTACCCGAGACTTCACGCCCCGGCGGGGGAGGCAGGAGCCCGCGCGGCCCCGCGCTCTGGAAGCAGAGCGGGGAACGGGCGCCTCTGAGCAGGGTTATCAGTGCGGATCGTCACGATAGTCACTCAGGCTTTATTTAGATTCACATGGCATCTTCAGAAATGGAATTTTAAAGCATTTGAACTACGAGGCACTCTTTCTTGCAAAACTCAAAATTGCCTAAGGTTTCTGTCTTTTTCAGATATTTACCATTTTCTGTTAAGAAAATGCCTTCCCTGAAACGTTGACTGTTAAGGAAATTTATCTTTTCCTTCAGTCTTCACAGGAATGCAGGCGATTAGCCACAGAGCCCCTCTCTGCCTAGCGCCAGGCACCGGACGCGCGGCTACACAGAGGCCACTGAATGGAACTGCAGAGTAATCTTCAGAAGAAAGAGCCAGCTCACAGGAGTGGCGGCGGCCCATTGTGCCGAGCTGCAGACACCAGAGAGCCTGGGCTGCGGCGGGGAGGTGCAGGGCACTAATGCCAGCCACAGCCGGGCAGGGCCGGGGAGGCCAGCGTCCACCTGACGGGCCTTCGTGATTAGTATTCCCCGTCACGTCCTAATGAAAGACCCGGAGCCTCTTAAAATCGTAAGCGTTTTTGTTTTGTTAGAAGCAGAAGACATTTAAATCTTCTAAGCCCAAACATTATAGGGGAACTCCAATATGTAAAGCAGATAATAATATCTAAAACGTAGGTAGTATTTTCCTTATGCCAGGTTTTATAGGTATTGATATATTTAATCTCCATAACCATGTAAAGAAGTATTATTATCATCTCTATTTACAGATGAGGAAACTAAGTCACAGAAAAACGAAGTAATTTCTGAAGATAACACAGCTAGTAGACAGCAGGGCCGCGATTTGGAACCAGGCCGTCAACTCCAGATCGCCCCTCTGCTCAGGTGGGTGGAGGGCTTGCAAGCCTGCAGCCTGGGCCTTGCTCCTCCTTTATGCTCCAGAAAACACAGCTCACAAAGCTACTCACCCAGTTCAGTGCTCCGCTTTTAAGAATGAGGAAACAGACTCAGAGAGGTGAAATGACTTTCTTAAAATCTCACAATAAGAAAAACAAGATCAGTTACATCTTTTTCCTTAGGTTAAAGACTCACCTGATTTGGTTCTCCCTTTAGGCAGGTCTACATATTTTCCATGGATGAAAATTCCTTAAGGTTGTGTGAGAGCATCCTAAGGAGAGCTCAGACGGATGCGGAAATCGGATGGATGTCCAAACGATCAAACGGGCTTGGGGGAAAACCTGAATTAACTCAATTACCCCTTGCATGTCCTCCTCCTCCTTACATGACACTCAGATAAGACTAGTGCAAAGGAGACCCAAGTCACTCGTTTCCCCAGCAGATGGTTATTGAGGGCCCACTATGCGTCATGACCTGTGCACAGCAGGCACCGACCACACGGGACACGGGGAGAGCAAGGCAAGTTCCTGCCCCTGGGGAGCTCACATCCCAGGATCCGTGGGGGGACCCCTCAACTTTGCTTAGAGATGGTCCTTCGAGGGCTTGGGCCAGTCTGTAACCTGGGCCAGTCTGTAACCTGGGCCACTGGCCACTGGGAGACCGCGTGAGAGGATGCATGGCCTAGAACAGTCCATCAGTTGTGGAGATGTTCCTGTTTTCCTCATGGCAAACCATTAGGGGATTTGTTTAAAACATTTTAACAGCAATTTTAAGCTCTGTGTCTCACTTCATATTTGTGTAGTGAGTACGTGGTAACATATGTTGTTTCTACGGAAGCGTATAGAAAATTTCCAGGGATTGATTTTCTGTCCATTAACTCACTGGGCAATGGTCTGTTACCATGGACAAAACTCCAATACTTTACAGTTTTCAAATTCACTTCTAGAGCTTGTTGATGATAGAAACTTTAATAACAAAATGTGATTAATGATGTTATGTTCTTACGTGGACTAAATTATAATATATGTAACTATGCAAGCATTCAACAAATATTTACCGAACCATTTTGTGTTAGTCTGGAAGAATTTGATTGCAAATAACTGAAAACGGAGTTCATGGTGCCTAAAGCAATAAAGATAATTTGTTAAATTACGTAATGAAAAAGTTCAGGGCTATTTCAGCCTTCAGGAACAGTCTGATCAGGGCGCTGTTATTTTTACAGTTCTCCCGGCCCTGAGTCTCCTCTGGGTATGATTGTATCTTTGTTTTCAGGCTGGTTTTCCTCCTAGTAGAAAAATGGCTGCTGTACTTTGATGTTCTTGTCTACATAACCCTCTACCCGGCGTGAGAAAGCATCTCTCCTCTAACAAAGAAATTTTGGATTTCATTCCTGTTGAACCAATTGGTTCATGTGCCTTCTTTAAACCAATCGCTGTGGATGGGAATTCAGGGTCATACTGATGGGTTTAGACTATTGAGGGTCCACTCCTAAACCCACACAAACTGCACACTGCTACCCAACGGAGGAGAGGTGGAACCCAATTCCACTTCTACTTACTCTGTGCTAGGCGGTGAGGTTGCCGCTGTGGACTGTCAGTCTAGCCAAACACCTGTAAGCAGCTCTTGAGAGCATTCATAGCGCAACTTTATGAGATGGGTCAAAACTCCAAATGGTTGTTCTGATATTTCTAGAATGATTTCCTAGCCCACAGTGCACAATGAGAGAATTGCATCGGGAGTCAGAGGGCTTGTTTACACCCCCCACAAAGAGATTTTGCATATGAGACAGAATTAGAGGAGGTTCACTATGAGAATTTATAAGCTTCCTTATTGATTCTGCTTTGGATCTTCAGTAGAAAGCAGTTAAGTTTCCATAATGGAAAGAACATATTTAAATATTTAGGAAAGTTGATAATCGATCCCATTAATTGCATTGTGTGTTAAACCCAAGCCGTGAGCAGGCTGGCTTTGCCTGGGCGTGGCAAAGGGAAGGAGGAGAGGGGGGCACCCTGCCCCGTGGCTACTCCCCGTTACTAGAAGTGTTCTCCACAGCACGTCGTGTCTGCAGTTTACGGGCCTGGCAGTGGCAGGTGCAGCAGGACGGTCACTGGTGAGTCCGCTGGGGCTGGAAGTGAGACGAGAGCTACGGGGCAACCTGAGCATTCAGTTCCTCACAAGTACCTGGGTGTGCGGATTCTATGGATTCAACAGGTGCAGATTGTACATATCACTGGAACACTCTCTATCTCCGAAAATCTTTAAATTGCTCTCTGAGTAACACTCCTGAGCTGCATTTTATAGATTTCTGAATTACGTGATGCTATAGCATAAACGTATTCAAAGTCTTGGCAAAGACTGATAGAAAGCACACGAAGTTTGATGCTCTAGGGTGACAATATCAGATCGGATCCAGTTTGAGGCTCAGTAGAAGTCACTCGCCTGTCCTTAGTCCATCACTACTGTGGCTATTGCTGTCACTGTCAAGACAGGCACACAAATTGTTTACCGGCTTATTCTGAGATTCTTTGTCAACTCTGAGAAAACTATAAAGATGAGAAAAATTAGGTATTGAGGTCAAAAGAGAAAAAAAAGAATAAGGGTTATGCCATGTACATTTTATTAAATTGAGTTTAGAACAAATTGTGCATTTTCCCAATAAATGATCATTATTGAATAGGTAATTTGGTACAATGTTTCCCTTTTGCTAAGGGAAATAAGTAGTAGTGGGTCTCAGATAACACAAAAAAGGAGAAATCTTTTCGCAGAGGGGAACAGGGTGCATTTCACTGCCAAGAGTCAGACCCCATAATCCCCCAGTTAATAGAACCATGGATGGCACAAAAAGACAAAGGGACAGCACTCTGCCCTATTAAATGTGCTTCTGCGTTCACCTGGAAACTCTTTGTTGATAACTAAATGTGTAGCAACCATAGTTAAATTTCAGAAAATTACAATTAGACATCTTTGAATAACGAAGAAGGGGGGGTAGGAACCAAAAGCTAGTAAGTGGCTCTTTTAAAGTCGTGGCTAGGTGCCATTTCAAAACAAACACGTCCACACTGTCCCAGCTGACGTAGATCGAATCCTCTAGCCTCTTCAGGAGCTGTACTTGTTATATAAAATAGTAATTTTGTTTAGGGTTTTTCAAGTGTGATTTTTTTTTAATTTATTTTATTTATTTATTTATTTTTTAATCTGTTGCCCAGGCTAGAGTGCCGTGGTGTCAGCCTAGCTTACACCAACCTCAAACTCCTGGGCTCAAGTGATCCTCCTGCCTCAGCCTCCCGAGTAGCTGGGACTACAGGCATGCGCCACCATGCCCGGCTAATTTTTTCTATATATTTTTAGTTGGCCAATCAATTTCTTTCAATTTTAGTAGAGACGGGGTCTCGCTTTGCTCAGGCTGGTTCTGAACTCCTGACCTTGAGCGATCCTCCCGCCTCGGCCTCCCAGAGTGCTGGGATTACAGGTGTGAGCCACCGCGCCCGGCCTGGTGTGATGTCTTTAAAAATTTTTTTGCAAACAGTATTTTCAATGCAATCGCTTCTGACCAGGGCAGCGAGGGAAGCCAAGGCCGGTTAACAGATCGACCATAGCGAACGCAGTGGGGTCCTTGGCGAGGCTCGGGGAGCGCGTGGCTTCGCCGGGGCTGCGGGCTGCTCTGCGGGCTCTCGGCGTGTGCGTGCGCGCCGGCACCTGGGCTGCGGGCGGGCGGGAGCAGGGCCGAGGCGGGGCCTGCGGGCAGAGCGCAGCTGCAGGGCGGAATTCCCCGGCAGAGCAGCGGCACCGCTTTGAAAACAAACGCGCCAGTGGAACAGGAGGGTTTCTGAAGCAGCAGGCGAACACAGGGCTTCACTGGTTTTTGAATTAACTCTTTGTGCTCATTTTTCATGCATCCTTCAAGAGAACGTCTCCGCATTTTGCAGAGAGGTGACGCAAATAATCCTTGACATGCGTTCGGGGACGAGGGGCAAACATCGGAGCACTGCGCCCCTGCACCTGCTTCTGTCCCCGCGCCGGCCTCGCTGCGGTGCAGGCTCGCTGTTTGGCTTCATGTTCAGTGTTTTCAAAAAGAGGGCTTAGCTTTTCCCTGGCAGGAGAGACTGTGCTCATTCTGCAGGTTAGAGTGAGAGGTGGCATTTTCCTCTCTCCTTTCCTGGTTGTCCCCTCTTTCTGCCTCTGTTCTCCTCCCTTGGCCTCCCGTCGCCCCTCCCGACGCGCTGGGAATGGCCTCGCTTCTCTCTTGCTACTAATTTAAAGCCTCTTCTCTTTCTTGTGGAAAATACCTGCTAACACTGTTTTCTCTGAGGGAGACTATGTATGTATCCATTAAAATTGCCTTTCGCCCACGAATGCCATAAACAATTAAATGCGCAGCGTGGCAGCCTGCGGAGACCTTTCTGGCCACTTACGGGAAGTTTCCTAATCCCCTTCTGCAGCAGCGAGGCCCAGGCGCCCGGCCCATTCATCTGCGGTCGCTTCTCAAGCGCTTTGATCTCAGGGCTTCATTACAGCTCATTTCAGCATTAAGATGATCCGAATTCATGAGCTCTTCCCTTCCCAGTAAGAGCCGTTCGCGGCCGCCTCAGGAGCGGCCGCAGCTCGCAGGAAACTGGCTCCAACCACACCGAAAGAATAATGGGCTGGCTTCAAACACAAGTGAAAAACGGGGTTTTTATTAGCCAAATGAACCTTTGAATAAAATGCTTCGTTAAACAGAGTCTTGTTTTCAGGGCACTGTTAAATCCACCAATTGCCGCTCAGAGATGGGTAAGTGTGACGAGTTCACTTTTTTCAGGTGGAAATCCTGCGGCCAGAAGACGCTGGCCACCTGCTGCGTCCAAGGCAGGGCTGGAGTTGACTTGGGGCTTATTTGGCTTCACAGATCTTGAAAACCATCGTTGCTTTTATACGTCTTTCCTGTTTGATTAGTCTGGAGTGGAGTGTGCCACTCCTAAAAAAAAACAAAACAAAAAACAAACAAAAAAAACACCCAGTCTCTTATTTTCATTTCCTTAAAAAAAAAGAAATTTAATGCGGATCCAGATAGTGACGATACAACTTCTAAGACCATCAAGCAAACAGGGAAACACATCACTGGGACATGGCAGAGCCAGCACAGAGCCAGGGGTCGGGAGACAGGCACACAGTAAGGTGGCAGAAGCCACCAGCTAATCCATTGACAGCCTTCACTAAAAGTCCATCTGGCTCTGCAGTAAACTGGGGAAGCACAGACAAGACACTATGAAAGTCTCAGTTCCCGTGGGAGAAAGTTTCATCCTGGAACAACGGCAAATGCTGTGCACCAAAGTGGTACCTCGGTGAACACCATGGCAAATTTTCATTTAGCACTTGGTAGGGCTGTTCGACAACATTGCACAGATAAAGGGGAAGAAAGCCAAGTGTGGTGGCGCACGTCTGTGTCCCAGCTGCTCCGGAGGCTGAGGTGGGAGGATCGCCTGAGCCCAGGATAAAGTTCCGTCTGAGCAGCATAGCAAGACCTCATCTCTAAAATACACACATAAAGACACAATGTTACAGTTCAGTTTTATATATGAATAAAAAAAAAAAAAAGACACAATGAATAGGGGAAGAAAGAGTAAGTGGTGCTCCTGTAAGGCACTCCTGCTGTTGCTCTATTTATTGGCTCGTTTTCTGCCCCACTCCCACCCTTCTCAACCCTTCCCGCAACTCAGGCCCCGCCCTCCGCACGCCCCATCCGCAGACGCTTCACGCAGGTGGCTGTGCGGAAAGGTGCCCGAGCCACACACCAGCAGACCAGGTCTCCTCCTTGGGCAGAGGGGCAGGGCGGCAGGAGGACGGGTGCCAGGCTGCCTGCCTACCGGAGCCGCCGTCAGCACCCCCTGCCCAGCAACTCTGCTGGGACCCAGCGCTGAGCCTGTTTCCAGGGACCGCTGGTCCCCACGCGTCGCCTCCGCCCGTCACACCTCGAGGGGCTAACCTGAAAACCACGGGAAGATCTGAGCCCCTCCCTGAGCCTTTGCATTAAGACTGCTGATTACATCTTAGATTTCCTCACCATGTAAAGAAACGAAGGGTCTGCTAATGTGAGTGGCTTTTTTTCCATCGGCCCAGCCGATGTTTTTGATTTTGCTGTTCTGCGTGGCCAGGCGCGACGCATGGCACCCTGCGGCCAGGCCCGGGAAGGAGCGTGACCGGCCCGCGTTTTGTCCGTTGTTGCAGGTGAGGCAGTGACAGCCGTTCCTGCTCAGACGGGGCCACACCTCCCTGGAGTCGGGGCTCACCTCCTGCCACGTGCACGGACGCAGCCGGCCAGCCGAGACCGACCTCCCTTTGTCCGGCTGCAAGCAGAGATGCAAATAGTTTCCCTTTTTTCAACTGGGCTAAAAGAAAGAATTTCAAGCCATTTGTGTATCTTTCATGACAAATCACTAGAACAAATTTTTATTTCTCATTCCCTCTGTGTAAGTCTTACAACGAGATGGCTTTCTGGAACATTTTCTAGCTAAATTCATGTCCCTGAAGTCCTTGGAGGGCAGATGTCTTAGAGTTGTTGCTGGTACCAAATATTAAACCAATACCACGGGGCACAAGCAGGTGTATTTCATCCTGAATACAAAGTCAGTGTTAATAATCTAGCTTCTTAATGGTCACTCCAAGGCCTAATGCTTTGGTTTGATTCCATATAGTTTATATTTAGGAAAAATTACCAGCATTCTTCTATTTTTGCTATAAAGGCCTGGTAATTCGTCACATAAACTGGCCATATTGGACTGAGAAGGGCTTAGGAGTGGTGGGACCAACATACCCGGGTCTTTATAACTCATGGCGTTGCAGGTAGAAGTTAGAAGGACCTTTTTTCTTTTCAAGTTGCTTCTGGTTCAGCCACACGTACAGAGATCACCACGGTTTGCCGGGTATGTCCCTCTGCCTGACCTTTGCAGGCCGGACGTCCTGGGCCCTCTGGAGCCGAGGCCGCCGGACGCGGACGAGTCGCGGCCAGTGCCGCGTACACGAGCCCACGCCGAGAAGGCGAGACTGGAGGCTCCAGAGCGAGGCTGCCTCGCTTGCCGTCCGGGCCTCCCGACTCTTAAAAAGGACAAGTCAGCCATTGTGGCTCTCTAATCCTTCGCGTCCTCATCTGCAGAGTGAGGGTGTGACAGCACAACCTCAGAGGGCCGCCGTGAGGCCACGTGTGTGAACAGGGTCGGCCTAATGCAGAGTGAGCACCCAATAAAGACATTATTATTATTATTATTATTATTATTATTGTTACTAGTACTGAGATAGGGACTGGCAGGCCTTACTCAGTGAAGAGTCGTAAGCCTCGAGCCAAGGTCTCTGATAAAACAGGAGACAGTGGAGAAACTGGCCCAAGCAGTCGGAGCCCGGGCAGCAATGGAAAGCCGCCGCAGGCTGCCCTCTCTGCTCATTACACGCTGGTTTCAACGCGTCCCTTAGCATGCTAAGGGCAACTCCCACCAGTGCCATTATGGTTGACACATGTCCCGACAGCACCTGGAAAGTGTCCTGTATGGTTTAAATTGGAGGGGACCCCCATCCCCGTCCCCAGAGACTGTCTACCCTTCTCCCAAGAAGCTCGCAGCCCCCCTTTGTCTCGCACGCAGCCGAGAGAGGACGGGGACACAGGCAGCAGCTCACAGACGCCGCTCCGTCTACGCGGCGGCCGCTGCTCTTTTTCCTTCTGTCTCAATAAACTCACTTTCGCCTTGCTCTGTCGGATTCTTCTTGAATTCTTTCTCACGTGAAGCAAAGAACCTCTTTGGCCTTCGACGGACCTCAGTTTGGGGTCCGCCTTCCCGTGTTGGTACTGCCGGCAAGGAAACCGAGGACCGGCTCATTCCCGAGCCTTCCTCCATAAGAAGGCCACACAGCTAGAGACAGAGCTGGGACGACAGCCACGGCCGTGTTTCCCTAGCTTTTGAACCCATTCCTTAGGGAGAGCTATGTCTCTCCAGATAGAAGTGTGAATTTCCTCTGAGCATTGTTGTTATTCAGTTTAGTCTGTTTTCTGAGAATATACATATTTTAAAGCAGGATTAGCTTGCAGAAGCAGCCAAACGGAGAGGTGGTTGGAAGATTCATCCTAATACTGACTCACATATAAATTGTAATGCAGCTGAATGCATCAAAGAATAAAGTCTCTGTTAGCTGGGTACCAAGCAGTTCCGGCAAGATACTTTTCCTGAGGGGGACTCAGGTCTATGCAACTTCGATCGTCCTAAAATACTGTGCCGTTTGCAATTGAGTGAGCAGTCAGATTTGCAAACAAACACGCCTGCGATGCTAAATCCGTCATCCTGGCGGTGCTCATAAAAAGGGTCCAGATTTATTTTCTACTTGGTGTTTGTTCTGTTCATTAATTATATTCATATCTGCTTCTTTGAAGTTATTGGGACTATTGGGAAATGTAAAAGAAAGCTGTATCGATTTCAGTCTTATTACCATCCTGTCTTTATTTCCTTCGTCTATGAACTCCCAGGCATGCTGAGTGGTGCGTGGTGCTGCGTGTGGCGTGTCGGGCGCGGGGCAGGGCACTATCAGCAGAGCCCAGGCGGCCCAGATCTGCAGTCTCTTTGGTGAGAGGCTCTAGATTTAGAGTGTCTGGATTGTATTCTGCTAAAATCTCCATGGCCTTTCCTTTCAAAATCAATTTCAGTTGTCAAAAGGGGGTGGGGAATGTGAGTCACTTTGAAATCATATAGCTTATTATTATCATCATTTTTTTAAAGCTTATTACTATAATTTTTCTCCCAAGGGAGCTGAGTTGATTTATAACCCCACCCTCCTTATCTCAACATGTGGCTGAGTTCAGAAGGGAATTAAAATTGGGGGATTTTTTTCCCTCCAGGGAAAACTGATAGAACATATCCCAACCTCATTTTCAAGTTCAGCAGGAACTTTTTAGCCCCTTGAATTTCGTTTTAAAATGCACACACAGCAACAAAGTTCGTGCCTCTCCACGAATTCACATATTTGCCCTAGTACCTTACCGACAAGGTCTGCCTGGGAACAGTCTTCGCAGCAGCGGAGCGTAGGCTCTGCGTACACACTCACGTGCTCTGCCGTCGTGAACCGCAGCAGGGCTCCTATCTGATTTGTTTGCTGTTGTATCCCAAGCACCTAGAGCAACGCCTGGTTCTTAGAAGGTGCTCAATAAATATTTGGGAAATGAGTGAATGAATGGGGAAAATATCAAAGAGTTCTAGCAAAGAGCCCAGGGCTCTGAGGTCAGAACACACAGACGTGGGTTGAAATTACTACCTGTGACTCATAAGCTCGGTGATCTTGCTTAGCCTGCTCAGCTACAACATCCTCATCTGTAAAATGGGCAGAAGGATAGCGCCTGCTGTTTCCGGTTGAGTGAGGCCCTGCATGGAGAAGGCTTAGTGGACTTTTGAGAATGTGAATTCCCAATATGTGGTTCATATTCTTATTCTTGTGAATCGTCCAGGTCTGGGGTTGAAGGGCCCCTTGAGTCCAAACATTAGGGGTTCACGTCTTCCAAAACTGTGCTTCACATTAACACCTAGGAAGTGACCCTCACTTAGTAAAGGAAAAGTCCCCCGTCTTAGCCAGCATTTCAGCAGCGGTGGGAGCAGCCTCCTCTGCATCCCTGGCCCAGGTTTTATAAGGGACTAGGGGCTGTGTCATATCATCCCAGGCGCAGTGCAGAGAGAGGCAGAAACTGTGCAGCTTGGATGACTGATGGCCTGAGATTATTATTCTTTGGTTTCCAGGACACAGGGCTCCTATTATTTACAGAGTGCTTTCATTTATTTTTTCACTGTTGAAAGCTCATGCCAGTACGGTTGTCGGAAACCTCATGGCAGCACGTGTAGGAGACGACCACATTCCGTTCTCGGTTCCCTGAAACAGGGCGCTACTGTTGCAGAAAGGAAGTCCCACAGGCAACTGTGCCCCTGTGGCTCAAGCGTGGTCGGCAGGACTGCCTTGTGCAAAGGAGGCTTTGAAAAGCTTTTGCTGGAACGGGGGAGCCGCCTCCCCAGCCGGCGAGTCTGCCCCCCGGCCAGGGGCCTGCTTCTCGCCAGTGCCAAGAGCTGTATGCCACAAGGAGACAGGTCTCTCCTTTAGCTCCCTCTCCGTGAGTCGCGAGAAGCATCCTTTCCCTCCCTCTCAGGCCCTGCAGGAGCAGACCGCGCAAGTGAGACGCGGCGTGGCACAAACCGAAGGAAGGCAAACCAGGGCGGCACGCAGGCGCCGGGAGCGGCAGCACGGGCCGCGGAGGGCTGGAGGCTCAGTCTGACGGGCTCGGGAGCCGCAAGACCAATTGCCTACCACGGGCGAAGTGGGTCTCATAAACGGGTGAGAGGACAGAAATAAGGCCAAAATACCTAGGTACGGGTAGGGGCTGGAGTGAGCCTCAAAGCGAATGTCTTGCCCAAAGGAGTCAGGCTCTACTCAATTCCAACTGATCGTTATGTGTGGGGTTCAAGCCCAGTGTGGCTGGATCTTTTGATTTTGAGAGAAGCCAATGATCTATTGTTTTTTTCTGTGAAATCTCTAAAATTGTAAACACTTGTAAGATATTTTTTATTTTTTAAGTGGTGTGCAGACCAAAAAAACCCCATATCTCTGGGCCTTCAGATCTCTCTGATATAAACATTCACCCTGCAATTATTTGCTGAGTACCTACCATGTTCCTGAACTGTGTCAGGAGTCAGCAGATATTAAAATGCAAAGACCCGGGTCTTGTTTCCGAACACTTTGCTCAGCGAAGGGGAGACAGAGAAGCAGAACCTGAAGCAGTCGGTGCTGGCTTGGAGCTGACGGGCACAGATCTGGGGCCAGTAAAGGGGAATCTGTTTCTGGGACAGGTCTGAAAGCACGAGCAGGGTTTCGTCTGCTGGAGAGGTGGGCGGAAGGACGTCTGGGAGAGGGCAAACAGCACTGCCAAGGCACGCAGGGAGGGTGCTGCACAGCACATTTGGAAAGCCAGGAGTGCGCTTCCGAGGCCGCGTGCAGGGCCAGGGCGTGCGGGGGCAGGGAAGCTGGCTCGCCCCCTCCCCCCAGGCACCCTGTGTTTTCTAGATCCTTGTTCTAACTGGTGTCGCCTGCCTTTGCCGTGCTTCAGGTTGATGCACGAATGGCAGAATACGCTTCCCGTTTACCTCCACCCCTCACTGTGGAGGGGACAGCCAAGGACCAAGGCCACGGCACCGAAAGGACTCCTGGGGAACCCGACGCGGACGTACTTACCCCTGTCCACGGCCAGCCCACGCCTGCAGCCCTTCTGCCTCCACTCCCGCTGCGGCTCTCGTGCCACTGTAACTGTCTCCACTCAGCTGCGCCAGTGCCCGTCCGTGCCCAGCATCTGCTCCGATTGATCTGCTGAGCGGCGGCGGTACCGACTCCACCAGCAGCTAACTTCTAGCGCCGAGTAACTGGTGATCTCCCACAGTTTCTGTAAACACACATCTGCCCAGTTCACATGCATGTCCTTAGCAATCTGTGAATATGATTCGACTTTACTGGTCCTATCTAGGAAGGTGTTTGTTTTTTGTTTTTAAAAGGCTTGCCCTGATCCCCCTACTCTGAGTTGTGCAGGTCGCCAGCCCCTTATCCTGATGGAAATAGACACACGCTGCCTTTCGCGCACCAGCTGTAACCACGGCGGAGCGTAGGGCGCCATTACGCTTCTGACTCTGGCGCTGGGACTCAATCCCAGCTCCGAACCTGACCCGTTGTGGTCATTTTACCTTCCTGTCTGTTTACCAAGCAAAACTTCTCAGAGTTCTTGAAAAGATTAAATGAGCTAATATAAACAAAACACATAGTACCTGACACACAGAAGTATATGAGCATTAGCTATTATTAGTAGTAATATTTTTAATGGCCCCAAGTTGATAAAGGAGAATAGTTTTTAAAAAAATGTATATCTTCAACTAACCCATATCCTTTTCCAGCTCTGTATTTGAAATGTGCAGTTTCTGTAGAGAGATGAAGTAGATCAGATAATAAAGGTTAAAAAGTATTACTTTAGCAGGCACACATTTGTGGATGTGAAATATTTTTTCCTCTTTGTATTAACTGCTATGTGTCATTCTAGAATTTATGCTCAAATTGGCTAGCATAGGCTTCCTCTCTAGACTGGAGTAATAATAATCTCATTTGCCCCAACTCCAAAGCCCTTTGAAGTTAAACACTGAGAGAAAGAATGGTGGGGCCACTCAGCAGAGATTAGATCTTGTTTTAAACATTAGCTGCTCTGAGAATAATTTCCTTAATTAATATTCACAAGATATCATACACTTGAGACTATATTTTCATGTAACCTACTTGCATGTAATTGTTCGCCGAGGCTCTTCATTTGTGTCTTCCTTTTGTGTCAGTATTCAACAAAATCATTTCCATCTAAAAGCAGTGCTGAAGGGGGTGGAGGCCGTGGGTCTCCCCTTCTGCATAAAAGCGAGCACACATGGGCTTTCATCTCATTGCTAAAGTTAATATTGTTTTGTGCTGGTTCCTATTCTTTACTCAATGCACGTGCTTCCCAGACCCCTCGCCGTACAGCCTCGAGCCCGGAACGTGTTCAGGTGCTGCCCTCTGGCCAGGCTCACGTCACATGGCAAAGCACCGCTCAAAGCCCCCAGAGCTTCCACCAGCCAAAGCGTCTGAAAGCCCCAAGGAGCCTCATTTGCCATTGGTAACATTGTCCGAGGTGATCATCTGGGTCAGGCAATCAAAGACCCTCAGTGTCAGGGACTTTAGGTTATTCAAGATTCAGCTTGGGCCGGGTGTGGTGGCTCACGCCTGTAATCCTAGCACTGTGGGAGGCTGAGGCCAGCGGATCATTTTGAGCTCAGGAGTTCAAGACCAGCCTGAGCAAGAGTGAGACCCCCATCTCTACTAAAAAGATAAAAAAATAAAAATAGAAAGAAATTAGCTGGACAACTAAAATACATACACATATATAATTAGCCACTCATGGTGGCACATGCCTGTAGTCCCAGCTACTCAGAAAACTGAGGCAGGAGTATTGTTTGAGCCCAGGAGTTTGAGGTTGCTGTGAGCGAGGCTGACACCACAGCACTCTAGCCGGGCAACAGAGTGAGACTCTGCCTCAAAAAAAAAAAAAAAAGGAGAGCTTGCCCAAAGATCAGCCGAAGGAGCTAAAATGACTTGGAAAGAAATCTTTCTGCGTCATTTTAAAGCCTTGTCAGTTTTGCATATTTCTCTGAGTACATTGAAAAATTAAAAGGCTTTGTTTTAAACACATTTTTTAAAAAAGTTAAAATAAATTTGCTAATTGCTTAAGGTTTCTTCGTCCATTTTCTTCTGCTATAAATGAAATGCCACAGACTGAGTAAATTATAAAGAACAGAAGCTTATCTGTCTCATGGGTCTGGAGGCTGGGAAGTCCAAGAGTGTGGTGCCGGCTTCTGGCGAGGGGTGTCCCGTGGTAGAAAACAGAAAGGCAAGTGAGCGCACGAGAGGGAGAACGCGGCTAAGCTCTTCCTTTTATGAGGAGCCCAGTCCTGTGATAGCAGCACTAATTCATACACGAGGGCAGAGCCCTCACGATCTAATCCCCTCTTAAAGGTCCCAACTCTCAATACTGCCATGATGGCGATTAAATTTCAACATGAGTTTTGGAGGGGATGTTCAAACCACAGCAATCTCCAGCCAGTGACTTTTCTGTTTAAGACATTTGCAAGAAAATGTGTCTTATAGAGAAACAACAGCCTCTCACCCTTCCAATACAACACAGTGAAATTCTTTTTGCTTGTTTGTTTTGTTTTTGTAATTCTTTGTTGAGTGCAATTTTTAAAATACTTGACAATTCTACCATCAAACAATCAACAATGGTTGAGCTAACTCTTAGGACAAATTACATTTCCTATTACAAAGCTGCAAAATACTTGAATACTATTTATGTTCATGATATATATGTTATTGTATATGTTGAATATAGTATACATGATATGTGTGTATATATGTACACACATGTATCTATTTATCCATGCATATACTTTTTTCCCCATAGATTTAGCAACTGCAAGACTAAATTTATCTAATGATAGATTATAAAGTCTTGCCATGGGAGGTTAAAATATAGTTTTAAGATTTTTCGCTTGTTTTACAATTTCTTGATTGCTATGTATACCTGAGGGATAATATCTGTTAATAATTCTCTCATTGGAATCATTATCCACCCAGGAATTTTCCTGCATGATGGACATGATCTAAGAACTATTTCTGCACCTAGCTGAAGTCCATCACTGTCCAAGTCAGTATCATGCTCTGGCAAATAATCCAAGCTAGTGTCGGAGAGAACAAAGCCACTCAGCCGAAGAAGGGCTGTCCCACCACTTTCCTGTCCTATCTTGCCCCTCTATCACCCAGCTGGGGTCTGTACCAGAGGTGGGGAGGGAGGAACAGAAGCCTGCCACACCCCTCCCTCCAGGGCAGGCAGCCTGGACTACAGGCCTCAGCAAGAAGGAAGGGGAGGGGAGGTCTGGTCTTCAGTTGAAAACTGAAGAGTTGACTATTGTCTTAGAACAAATTCTCTCGACTGACTTGAGACTCTAGGACAGTTGGTTTTCTAAGAGTGAGCAGAAAAGCCATGGGGTCTGCTGAGTTTTTTTCAAGTGGCAGGGGAATAAATTTTAAAGTAGACAAGATTAAAGGAGGCAGAAATTTTGAAGGAGACAAATTTAAAGGAGAGACAAGAACAAAGTTAAGTTTGGGTCCTCTACCATGGACCCAATGGATCACGTGTCCAATGTATTAGTGAGATTTATTTCCATAAAACCAAGAGAATTGAATTTGAAGTTCAGTGAAGAACAGGAAGGCAAATGGACATCACAGAGAATGTCCTTGCTCTAAAATTTCAGAACATGAATTTGCTTACCAAGGAAGATTGTGGTACCTTTTCATTTGTTTTCAAGATAAAACTTTACTGATAAAATTTTCTTTTCTTTTCTTTTTATCTATAATTTCCTTTTTAAGCAAGATTAAAAGGTTAAAAAAGAGTGTATTTAAGAAAAACTTAAAGTAAAAAGTAAAACAAGTAGAATGAAGATTTGCCATAATCTGGGAAGATGGGATATAAGTGAAGTTTGGAAAATACTGTTCTGAAAAGGTCTTGAGGAAAAGTCAGAAAATAAAATGTTATGGAACCACATTATAAGTGGCCGTTTGCAGGAAATCTGTAGAATCATCCTTAGCTAAATTTTTCTCATGTTGGTCCAGCATAATCCATATATTTGTGCCATTTTTCCAAATGATAGTTCAAATTAGTTGGCTCTAAAACAGGCTCAAAATAAAAGCAGTAAGCAGCAATGTACAACTCAAAAAAAAAAGGTCAAAGTCTTAAAACATAAAAAGAGGAAAGTGAAAGAACAAAAGGAAGGAAGGAAAGAAAAGGAAAGAAATGAAAGAGTCCCACTCAATAAAATACAGTTTGTGAGCACTCTGGGTCCTCAATTTTACTTTGATAGTTCTGTTAGCTCAGAAGACACTTCGATTTGCACTCTCAGTTTCAAATATTAATTAAGCTCTTCCAGACTCCATAATTCTGGGCCTCTAATACACAGGCATTATTTAGTTTTCCCTGTTATATATTAGAATGTGCAGACACTATGATTTTATTTAGCTAATTTCAAGATTAAAGATTTCCTTAATTGTAGTCTTCCGTTAGCTCTTTGTAGTTGCTAAAACTGCATGCTTGATTGCTCAAGGGAAAACTTGTACTATTTGAATCCCTGTTAAAAGTGAAGTAAACCATGGGCTTCCGCTTCCAAGAAGGTGGAATAGATACCCTTCTCCCAGTTCTTCCCACGAAGTACAACCACAAACCCTGGACATACACATTATGTAAAACATGAGGCGCGCCGACAGGTGGAGACAGGAACGCAGCCCAGCCGCAGAGTTCAGTGCCCGAACCACGTGCGGTGCGTTTCCTGCCGCACGCAGCCTACGCTTGGAGCCGAAGGGGTCAGCCACCGGCAACACCGGGGCACAGACCCCAAAGCCCAACGAGAGTTGGCACTCTCTAGCCGGGAGGCGAGGGACGGGGCAGCAGAGCCAAACAGAAGCACGGAAATGTCCTGGCTCCAGCCCGCCCGCTGCGGCAAAGGCCCTGCCGGGGCTCCGGCACAGCTCTGGGCGCCGCGCGCGCCCCGCAGTGCGAGGGCCGCCCTCCTCGCCGCTGCCGCACGGAGGCAGTGCTCGCTCTCCGCTGCCAGGGCGCCGTGCCGGGAGCCCACGGCGAGCTCGCGCAGGCCCAGAGGCCCCGGGTCTCGGTTTCCATCAGAAACCACTCACTGCGCCGAGACCCAGGAAGACCTCACGCGGAATTGGCGAAGACAACGACGCCAGCCCTGAGGCGCGGGGATGCGGACGGTCATGTGCTAAGGCCGCCACCATTAAGACGCCTCCAGGGGGGTGACAGACAAGCTTGAAGCAGATAAAAAGAGAGAGTCTCGGCAAAGAAACAGAAAACATACGAAAGAAACAAACGGAAACTCAGAACCGGGAAGTGCAACAGCCGAGAACAGCAGCTGCGGCAAACAGCCCCCGCGGGCCGGAACCCGCGAACCGCGAACCTGAGAACCCGAGAACCCGCAACCCGCGAACCGCGAACCCGAGAACCCGCAACCCGAGAACCCGCGAACCCGAGAACCCGCTAACCCGAGAACCCGCTAACCCGAGAACCCGCGAACCGAGAACCCGCGAACCCGAGAACCCACGAACCTCGAACCCGAGAACCCGTGAACCGCGAACCCGTGAACCGAGAACCCGTGAACCGCGAACCTGAGAACCCGCGAACCGCGAACCCGTGAACCGAGAACCCGCGAACCCGCGAACCCATGAACCCGCGAACCGCGAACCCGCGACCCGCGCACAGGCGTCCCGCCGAGCCATGGAGGGAAAACAGACCTGAGAAAAAGGGCGGCGTGTCGAGGCCCTGCGGTCCTGTAGGTAAAGACCCGCCATTCCTGTCACTACCGTGGGAAGGAGAGGAGGAGGGCGGGCCGAAGGCCTCCCGAACTCGGAGAAAGGTGCGATCCGCCGCTCGGGCAGCTGAGCGAACTCCGGGCGGACCCGAGGGATCTGCACGGAGACTCGCAGCGGCCACACTTCCGTCCGCGAAGCGAGAAGGCGGAGCCCGTGGAAACCGGGCGCCGGGCAGAAGGGAGGGGGCGCAGAGCCTCGCTGCGAGGAAGGAAGGGAGAGCCTGTCACCGGCAGACTCGCCACGGCGGGCGTCCTGCCGGAAGTTCTCTAAACAGAAGAAACAAAGGATGGAACGGAATCTGGGGACATCAGGCAGGAAGAAAAACAAAGGTACACGGAGATATAGGTACTACAATAAAATGTTTTTTCTCCTCTCGAGGCTTCTAAATTATGTTTGACAGTTGAATCAAACAGGATAACACTCTGATGTGGTTCTAAATGCATGTAAATGAAATATTCAAGATAGAAATCTATTATTATAAATGAGAGAGAGTAAAGGAACATAAAAGCAGTTGATGTTTTATACTTCACTCGAACTGGTGACACCCCCAGTAGAATGTGAACAGTTATGTATATACAATGAAATGCCCAGTGCAAACAACTCTGTTAAAAGAATGAAACGACAAACTAGAGACAGGGATAATTTATATTTGCAAACTACAAAATATTAGTATCTAGAATATATAATGAACTCTCAAAACAACATCAAGAATCAAACAATCGAACGAGAAAATGGTCAAAAGGCATGAAGAGGTATTTCACCAAGGAGAAGATACATATACTTCAAAGGTAAGTAAGCACATAAAAATGCTCAACACCGTTCGCCATGAGAGAAATGCAAATTAAGACCACAATGAGGTATCGCTCTACACCTATCAGAATGGAGAAAATGAAAAATAGTGACAACACCAAATGCTGGAAATGATGTGGAGAAACTAGACCACTCACACTGCTGGCGGAAGTGTAAAATAGTACAGCCACTTTGGAAAATACTTTGGCAGTTTCTTAAAAAACTAAACCTGCAACTATCATGTGACCCAGCAATTGCACTTCTGGGCATTTATCCCAGAGAAATAAAAATGCATGTTCACATAAAAACCTATACATGAATGTTTATAGCAACATCTTTTGTAAAAGCCACAAATTATAAGTAACTCAGATATCCTTCCACAGATAAATGGTTTAATGAACGGTGGTACATCCATACCATGGAATACCACTCAGGAATAAAAAGGAACAAACTACTGATAGACACAACAACCTGGCTTAATCTCCAGGAAATTATGATGAGTAAAAAAAAAAGGCAATCCCCAAATGTTACATACCGCATGATTCCATTTATGTGACGTTCTTGATAGGATAAAAGGATGCAAATGGAGAACGTGGTGGTTGTTGGGGGTTAATGAGGGGGTAGTTGTGGAAGGGAAGTAGATGTAGCTATAAAAGGGCCACATGAGGGATCTTAATGGATATGAAATGCTGTCACTTGACTGTATTAATGCCATTATTCTGGTTGTGATATTGCACTACAGTCTGGCAAGATGTTACCACTGGGGGAAACTGAGTAAAAGGTACACAGGATCCCTCTGTATCATTTCTTGCAGCCGCATGTGAATCTGCAGCTGTCTCAAATACAAAGTTGAGTTAGAAAACCACATGTGTAATATCACGTCTGCATGCTGTATAAGCACAGAAGATTCTGGAGGGCCCCAGACCTGCCTCTGACACAGCTAACCCTGGAGAGGGCAGCCAGGATCTGAAGTGCAGCAGGGATGAAGAGAGGGCTCTTTCTTTTCCTTTCACTCCAACGTGAATGTGTATTATTTTTATAATAAAAGGAAGCAAGTTCATAGAATTTTAAAAATAAACCATATTCATTCCTTGTTTTTATACTTAAAGAGGATCTTTTTCCCCATTTCTCCATATGAAAAGAAGTCTCTTGGCTGAAAGAGCCCTGGTATTTAGGAAATATATTAAGTTCAGTCTTTTACGGAAGGAGAACCCTTAACTTAGTCTTTCCAAAGAGAACTCACCCTAAAACTATTAGCTCACAGGATCCACCCATTATAAAGTATAATTTTCTTCTACAAAGCGCTTCTCAGGTATTGCAACCCAATCTCTGACCTGAAGTGCCAAAGGTGATTTAATACATGTCAGGTCCTTTCTCTTTTCACTAATGGCAGTGGAGGCTGTGATCCACACCACTAAGATTCCCACACTCTTCAGTGCCAAGGGACAGGGTGCCCGGCTGTCCCTGTGACAAGTCTGGCCATGGGGGCAACCCAGCTAAGGGACAGGAAAAGAAGTTGGCGCAGCCATCTGGCCCTGGTACCCAGGAGACTCCGACTGTTCCCCTCTCAAGAAACATCGTACCCGTTCCTGCTACATGTCAGGCCAAGGCCTCTTGCGTATACTGCGTGAGGCCAAATGTATTCATTTACCAACAGAAATTGCATCATATTCTGTCTTTGCACATTAGGCCACTAAGGACAACTTTCTGTCCTGGTTCTCCACTCGAAGCACAGGTTTGGGTCAAGGATTGAGGACAGGATTTGATTTATTGGTTAATGTTCATGGCAACAGGTTTGGAATTTCCACGTCTTCTGAATATTTGCAGGAAAGCTCAAGTAAGCATATTATTGGAGAGCTCAAGAAAAAATCTTTCAGTGAACACAAACGGACTCTTTCCTGTTGAAATTCCTTAAGGCCACATGATATTTTATTTTCACATGCTCCTGCCCCACAGATTTGGAATTTGACAGCTGAATATCGAAGCAAGTGCAAGCAGTCACTAAAAAGCTGACCCTGGAAAATTTGAGCATCAACAGATGATACTTGAATCATGACAGTGACACGTTTTAGACTGTGATGTCATCCTCTTGACCTAAGGAGAAATGAGGAACTAGATTAAATCAAGAATATTGTCTGATTGCTTTGTTCCAACTAACCCCAAATAATGAAAGTTAGCACTCACTGAGTATGTGCTGTGTGCTAAACATGCTGATACTGTACTAGGTCCTCATTTTCCCAAAACCATGTAAGATGAGTGTCATAGGAGGTTTAAAGAGGAGAAATTAAGACTCAGGAAGATGAAATAATTTGCCCAAGGTTACACGAGTGGGAAGGCCAGGTCAGGTTTGAATCTGGGTCAGCTGATGCCAGAGTCCACATTCTTCGTGTTCTCTGCTGTGGCCATCACACCAACACAGCAGGGCTTTAGGAAGTTTGTTATTATGTCACTGATATCCTTCACTCCTTCCTCATCTAGGACTGTAACCAGCCCAGACAGCAGTGTCCTCAAAGTGGAGAACCCTGACTCCTATTTTCACCACCTTGGGGACATCCTTCGGCTATGCTTTACCCAGGAGAATGTACTCTCCTCAAATCATAGATTCTATCTGGAAAAGCTCCAGAGATTATCAGTTTCTCTGCAGAAATGGGCCTGGTAGAAAGCCTGCAGACCCAACCCAATGCTGACCGTACAAGGTCATGGTAGGAAACTAAAGGCAAAAACGTAACTGACGGACTCGAGCTGGTTGGGCGCTGAGGGTAACCGGCATGGGGAGAGGCTGGCTGAACGCGGTGCCGAGGAGAAACCGCTCCACAGAATAACGTTCGGTGACAACTTTACCCACCAGAGCCTTCCTTTACCCTTACAGGATATATCTTATTTAATTTGAATAGCCACAGGAAAAATATTTTGTTACTTGTGCTTTACAATTTAGTGAGCCCTTCCTTACACATCATCTATTTAATTGTCACATCAGACATTGCTATGAGCTAGAAAGATTGGATGGCATTTTCTTTTACACATGATCAGACTGAGGTTAGTGAAATTAAGTGATTTGCTTGGGTAACAGAGCTGGAAAATAGGAGAAACATGACCCAAATTATTGGGTAATTATTGAAGCTGCTTTTAATATACCCATTGTTCCTAATATTTGACTATGAAAATTTAGATATTTAAAATGAACATGTTCCATATAATAAAAGTGATACATGATATTTATGGTAGAAAATCTAAATAGTGGCAAAATAACAATGACATCTGATCTCAATATCCAAAGGTATCATCATTGTTAAAATTTCGTGTGCATCCTTCTAGTCCGTTACCCATGTCTAGATGCGCTAAAATAAAACAGAGCAAAGACAAAACATGATCATGATGGATATGCTGTTTCCTGATTATTCTCTCTCCTTAGCAGTCTATAGTAAACATTTTTCCACATGCTTCTATATTCTTCTACATTATATTCAAAGAGGGCTTCATATTATATTGTATGAATACAATGCAGCTTTATCTAGCCAATACCCTATTGTAAAACAATAGGTTTTTGCATGATTTTTTCCCCCAATTACAAGCAATGGCACAGTTAACATCCTTGGAGCTACTGTTTTTTGTTTTTGTTTTTGTTTTTTTTGCCCACATCCATGATAATTTTCTTTGAATAAATTCCCAGAACTGGAATTTCTTGCTCAAAGAGCTTGCAAAATATTAAAGCATTTAAGATGTATTTTGGTAGTCCAAATTAAAAGTTAAGGTTTCATTTGCATGGGATTTGCTTTACAAATTTTTATACTATCTCTTAGCTCTCACTAATTGCAATGTATGTGGACTTTAGTGCTAATCTTCTGAGCCAGATGATAAAACATTCACAAGACTGTTCCTATCGTTTTACTCTGTAGTGAGTATTCTAAAGAATTCACATCCACAGAAGAAACTCAGGACTGAGGTGCACAACGCTGCAGGGACAGCTGTGCTGCCGGGGACAGGCCCCAGGTGTCCCACAGACCCGCCCACTACTGTCCATGCCTTCCTGTCGCCTCCTGCCCTCGGGCGCAGGTCGGGCCTGGGACTTGACCTTAAACCAACGGAACGTGGCAAAGATGCTGGGCCGTCTGGCGGGTGACTAGCTTATGTTGCCGTGAGGCTGCCTCTTAGACTGGAGCGAGAGACTGTCCTGGTGGCTTCGTGAAGTCAGTGACCTCGTGGGGGTGCCCCGTGGCCGAGCACTGCAGGCAGCTGTGTGTCCTTCAGGCGCCCCGCTGACGGCGGGCAGAAAGCCGGGCCCTGAGCCGAGCCACAGGCGGACGGGCTCTGCCAGCAGCCCGA